AAATAAACGGAAATTCCAGGAGAAGAAGTGACTTGCTCAAGGTCTTCTCGATGGGACATGCCAGCGCTGACCTTAAACTCAGAAGCACCTGACTCCTAAGACGCTGCCTTTTGGTTCGGGTTCCCTGAGGGTCAATCCAGGCCCTTTTCAAGGTTCTGCCCATAGCACCGTGTCTGCAAGTCCCAGGTCCTCCCCACCACCCATCCTGCCCGCCGTCTGCCTGCTACCACACTCACCTCTCCAGGGTATGGCCTCTTTATGCTCTGAATGGGAAGGGACTGGGGCCGGGGGCCCGGGTACGTCTGCTGGGGCATCCGCTGCCCGTGTGTGCCAAAGGGGCTGATGCCGGGCGGCCGGGGCTGGTTCATGCCCATGGGAGGGCCGCTCATCCCCGAGGGTGTCATGCCAGCCGCCATGCTTGCGGGGTTCATGCTGCCCCCCATGGAGGCAGGCCCCCGAGGCCCGGGCTGGTTCATGAATTGGCTGTTATACGCCTGGGTGGGACCCATCTGGAAAGAGGAACAGACCTTCAACGGGAGAAGAAGAAAAAAAAAAAGAATAAAATGCCACATGCATTGAAAGTGCAGGGAAGGAAGGGTGGGGGAAGTGGGGGGTTCAGGACTGGGAGTTGGGGCACTTTCCTGTGTGGCTGCAGCTGGTGACCTGGCTCCAAAGGACCACCAGCCGCCTGGGCTCACGGCTGCCCTCTGCAGGCCGCACAGGAAAGATGCAGCCAGGGGAGTGTTAAGGGGTGGGGCGCAGTCACTCCAATGCACAGGCAGCATTTCCAGGGAGGCAGGCAGGGAACGGGAAAGGGGGTGCAGGGGTGGGGAGGGGCATGGGAGAATGGCGGTGGATGAGGATGGAGGCAAGAGCCCCTTTCCTGGAAGCCCTGGCCCCACCCTTGTTTCTCAGCCAATAGATACACACCCTCTATCCATCAAGTCTGAGGTGGACTCAGCTCTGCCTATCTCTGCCCACCTGCCCTGCTGTCCCCAAACTTAAGTCCTCAACCTCCACAGCCGTCCTGCATTTCTGCGAGTGCTCCCCCTCTCCTCACATCCCATCCCATCCTTCTGAATGTCAGAGCTGGGACCTGGGCAAAATCCACAGATGAGACAACTAGCGGAGCCCTGGTCTTCAGAGGACACCAGGGGACAGACTGGCATCGAGGCTGCTTTAGACACAGCCTGCTCTTCCGTTAAGTGGGGGCCAGATTGCAATATGGAACATCTTTCCCCATACAGAGATATACAAGCAACATGGAAAACCAAACAAGCTCCCAAACACCCCTCACCACTCTCATTCACACTGACACACCCACACCTCAACACATAACCCCTCCCTGTGCTTCTAGGAAAACCTAAATGCACCCTGACACCATCCACTCCTCCCCACACACAGACGCGGACAGCCCGACTCCAATCCCCGGGGCTGTCTGCTGAGTGGACCAGGACTAGTGTGGCCCTTACCGGTCCATACTGGTTAATATCCTTATTCTGTGTTTCTTGCAAGGCTGCCACGGTGGCCGTAGCTGTGGCCGTGGCCGTGGCTGCTGCTGCCGCCACTGCAGCTGCTGCAGCGGCAGCTGCTGGCTGAGTGAAGTCAGCGGGTGGCCTGGTGTGTGGGGGGACACCCATGCCTGCTGGGGCATTCGGACCCCCAGGGTAACTGTGAGGGAGAAAAGAAGGGTGAGTTAGATGTTGCCTGAGCCTAAAGATTAACCCATGACCAGCCTTGGGTGGGGAGAGAGAGGTCGGGCCTTTCCAGGCCCTCCTGCCCACAGCTCATGGAGCAGGGAGGTCCAGATTCAGAGCCCGGTGGGGACAGGGGCCTCCTGTGGGCTGTCAGTCCCTCAGGCCACTTGGAACCACCAAGTTGCTGTGTGCCTGGAGCCCCATCTGGGTCCTAGTGGGTGCTCGCTCCTACACCCTAGGTCATGGCACTCTGGGCCACCCCAGTCAGCCCATCTCCTGGAGGAGGACACCGAGTCTCAGAGAACCTGAGCCACTGGCCCACGGCCGCCAGCAGAAGATGGCAGGATGGGGATGCAGCTGTGTTTAGCCAGGAGGCCCCACTGCACTGACCCCTGGCAGGGCTGCAGTCAGCCCTGGGGATCTGGGAGGGGCGAGGCCACAGGGCAGTCCTGGACAGGGGGGATGGACAGCGAGGGGAGGAACGGGGCACCCCTGCCCCACCCCGAGTCCCCTGAGTGCCTTGCTCGGGTTCCTTTCCGTCTCCATCCCTTACTCCTGAACCGCGGGCCTCCAGTCCCTGCGCTCTTCCGCCTCCACAAGCAGCACGGCAGAGCGGACCCTCCTGCACCCCAGCTCTCTTGGCGTCTCCCAACTTGGAGAGGTGCGACGCAGAGCAGGGTCATTCGGGGGAATGAAAAGGTTGTCCTTCAACCCCACGGGCTGACGGCCCTCAGAATGCCCCCCCAGCTGCGCCGCATGTGACCTGCAGGCCAGCCCTGCTCACCTGGCCCCGAAGCCCCCGCTGCCGGGGTAGTTGGGCCGGCCGTACATGCTCTGCTGGATGTAGGGCTGAGTGGGGCCGGCCTTGGCCGAGAACTGCTGCTGCTGCCCAGCAAACTGTGGGGAGTTGAGGCCGGGGTTGCTGGTGGTCATGCCCGACGCCATGGGGTTGCCGCCTGGATTCATGGGGTTGTTGGCATTGGCCATAGGGTTCCCAAGGACCTGTGGGCAGAGAGAGTGGCTATCACCTACGTGGGTACCCCAAGTGGTGCAGGGAGGGAAAAGGAGAAATGGCAGGGGGTGGGGGTGGGGTAAGCATCAAAACAAAGGGAAGGCAACAGAGAAAGAGGAGGAGGAAAGGGGTGGGGGGGGCTTTTCAATTTCCTCGGCATGAACTGCTGGCACAGTAGTTAGAAGTAGTATACACAGTATTAGAAGCGGGTAACCCAGCCCAGAAGTAGGCTTTGTAGATGAGAACGTCATCCCAGGGTGGAACAAGGTGAGGCTGGTCCTGCACCTGGCTGCAGGTGGGGAAGGCCTGGACTTCTCAGCCTTCCCGTCCTACCACGCAGCCTGGATGCCCAAGGGTCAGGCCACACGGAGGCCCGGTGCTGTTGCTCTGTGAGGGCCAAGGGAAGCCCAGCCCTCCAACTCTGGAGGGTGGCAGGGTCCTGGCCAAGGGGCTCCCTGTGGCCCAAGACCGCAGGTAAAGTGCGCTGGTTCTCTCCAGGGTGGCAAGTGGCCCTGAGCCATTCACGTGGCCAGGAGGCGGGAAGGAAGGTGTGGAGGAAAGAGGAAGGAACAAGAGCGGGAGGCAGGGTAGACGAGGGATGTGGGGTGGAGTCTGTCACAAGTTTTAGGCTCAATCTTTCGCTGAAATCTAACCCAGGCCATCCAGGGTCAAAGACTCCAGGTGTTGGGGCCCTGAGCTCAATAACATCCAGGAAGTTCCCCTGTTAATCCAACCTAAGTAAACGTGAGCCAGGAAAGAGCCCTTTGCTCTCTGTCAAGTGAAAGCCATTGCCCCAGCAAGGCCCTAGGGCTGCGGCAGTGCAGAGGGCCAGGTGCCATCCTCCTGGGGCGAGTGTGGGCCCATCCTGGGTAGAGGCGTGTCCACAGCTGGGTGTGACTGGACAGCTGGTCTTTCCAGCAGGGGAAGAGCCTGGGAGAGCCAGCAGGGCTAGCATGGCAACGTGACCAGGATGGATGGTTTGGAAGGGCCTGGAAGGGGCTGTGGCTGGGAGGGATGACAGGCTCTTACCTGGCTCTGGGATGTGTTGGTCACTCCCCAAACCGTGGTGACCACGGAGAGGGAGCCGGGAGGCTGGTTGGTGTTCTGCTGCCAAGGGACAGAGTCATAGGGGAATGACCCATCACTGCAGAGAGAGACAGAGGAGCGTCCTCAGGGGTGTTGCAGACACAGGCTCAGAGGGAGGCATGCCCCCTCAGCCCACCATGCTCTGCGGCTCCTGGCCGTTCTGCATTCTGAATCCCCTGAGCCAGGCACGGTGCCCTCTGTGCGACAGTGACCAGCTCTCCTGTCCTCACTGCGGAGGTGCCACCCCCACGGCTGGCTGTCTCCCGTGAGACCAAGTCCACAGGTCACACTATGGAAGAAGAGGCCTGCAGCTCAGTCTAAGCTCTGCCTTCGACCACAAGCTGCTCTAAGAGGTTCTCCAGAAAGAGCTCTGGTCCCTTGGCACCAGCTTCCCCTCAAAACTACCCATCCCTTCTCAGAAAGGGCTTCCCTGGTGGCTCAGGTGATAAAGAATCTGCCTGCAACGCAGGAGACTCAGGTTTGATCCCTGGGTTGGGAAGATTCTCTGGAGGAGGAAATGGCAACCCACTCCAGTATCTTTGCCTGGGAAATCCCATGGACAGAGGAGCCTGGCAGGCTACAGTCCATGGGGTCGCCAAGAGTTGGACACGACTGAGCAACTAACTTGCACTCCTCAGAAAAGGTCAACAGGGCCCCAGTCTGAGTCTTGGCTCTTCCCTCCTCCTAAGCCCTCATGGTGAGTTGGCCGCCTGCTCAGCTGACTTGGCCTTTGGAAGGAGCGTCATCAAGTTGCTTTTTCTTCCCAGATGACAGGTACTGGCCTCCCTGCTGTGCTTCCTCCCTTGTTCCCATCCAAACTCTCATGCACATCCCACCAAGCTAATCTCCCTCAGACACCTGAGACACAATCAAAGACCTTCAGTGGCTTCCAGTGTTCACAAAGTCCCAACTCACACTGCAGAACAGTTTACCCCACTGACTAATCCCACCCTACCCTGCTTACCACCTTGGCACTCACTTCTCCAGGGGCCAACCCCCACCCCAGCCATTCCCCCACCTCCTCAGTCTCCTCTCTAGTTCCAGCAGTACCCACCTTGTTTGATGACATCTCCCCAGAAGCCCCCAGTCATCAGAAGCAAGGCCCCATGCCCGGCCCTTCACATCATAAGTGCTCAATAATAGCTTTCTACTAGTTGCCATGGTACAGATGGAGAGTGGGGTCCAGCAGACCCCAGGGAGGGAACCAGGGCACAAGCTAGAGAAGGAGCCGGCGAGGTAATAGCATACAGGACCCGCTAGGGTCCCAGTCCCCGGGAGTGCCGGGCTGGGGCAGCCTGTCTCCTGGAGCCCGCCCTACGCTGACTTTTCTAGCACCTCTCACGGAGAGAAAACCCCAGAAGCGGCCCCAGAAAGAGAAGCAGCGCTGAGCACCCACGTCTGTGCTACCACCTCTGCCCACGGCATTCCGACCGGGCTGAGGTCAGCAAGGCAGCAGGGGCAGGAGGGGGAAGGGGGCTCTGGAGGAGCGTGGCTTGCTAGGAAAGCACCTCACGCCTCTGTCTGACTTGCACCTTCATCACAGGAAGTCAGCAGAAGACCAACGTGCTCACTCATGCCTGGAGACACCTGAACCCCAGCAAAGCAGCCAGCTTAGGTCCTGGAGGTCAGACTTCCAGGAAAAGGCGCCGTAAGTTTGAGGGAGTGGGGGTTTGAGCCTTGTGTACTGCACCTCGCCGGGCAGGGCCCTCGGTCACGTTGGTCAAGTCAGGTCAGGCTGAAGGGAGGACGGTGTCACTGACTGCCCATGCTTGCTCTTCCCTTGCCCGGACACCCTCTCTGCCTGGCCAGCCCCTGGCTTCCTTCCTGTCTCTGCTCAGAAGTCACCTCACTGGAGCTGCTGCCCTGACCTCTGGGGAAGAGCAACTCCACCCCTGTTCCCTTTTCCTCTCACTCTTGCCTGTTTTTTTTTGATACCCTGGGTATAAGTCTTGCCCCTCCCTGGCTCGGGGCCCCAGTGCGAACTTCAGAGCCTGTCTGGACTCAGTCTCCTCATCTGTTAAATGGGCGTAAGAATAACACCTACCCCCCCACTCCCATTCTATTCGGTCTTCAAACTGCAGGTCATGACACATGAAGTGTGTTGTGACATTGAACCAGACAGCAGGAGGGGGAAAACAGAGGGAATAAAATAGAAGCTATCAAGTGTGAGCACAGACTAAGGAGGAATATCACCTTTGAACTGACTTTCTGATGTTATACATGAGCACACACGCACCCTGGATCATGGGCTAAATCTGCGCATTTCTGAGAGTCTCAGGTGTGTGTGCTAAGTTGCTTCAGTTGCGTTTGACTTTTTGCGACCCTATGGGTCATAGCCCCCCAGGCTCCTCTGTCCATGGGATTCTCCAGACAAGATTACTATTGTGGGTTGCCATGCCCTCCTCCAGGGAATCGACCTCAGGGACCCAGCGATCGAACTCAGGCGCTTATGTCTCCTGCGTTAGTAGGTGGGTTCTTTACCACTAGCACCACCTGGGAAGCCCGCTGGTCTCAGGCGGGTTAAGTCTGAACACAGGCCTCCGTGGCCTAAGTCTGATGATGTGGCTCTAGGAGGAGACTGCAAACAAAAAGTCCTTCTTAACTGGAAAGTGACACTGAGTGACTTCAGCATTACTCATGCTTTCTGGGAGGAAAACTGCGGGCCTGGAACTGGGGGGTGAGGAGCCCTCCTCGGGGAACCAGTCCCTCTGCAGCCCAGATGTGATGTGGGTCAGCGGAAACGAGTGAGGCCCAGAGGCATAGGCCAAAGGTGACCGACGGCTCACACTCTCTGCACCTGGGGGTGCTGCCGGGGGGTCTGGGAGCCCGGAGAGCCTGGGCAGGATGGAGAAGAACAGGAAAACAAGCAGAGCCTGCTCCTCGGCACAGCTGGGCTAGAAGCAGCCCTGCCCTCCCAGGAGGTCGCTGGGGACCCCAGGGTAGCCCCTAGTCCCAGGGCTGCCATTCCAGTCTCACAGGGAGGCCGCGCAGGCTACGGTTTTAAACAACAAAGAGGAGACCCCTGGACACCCTCCCTCCTGTGGGGCCCTTGCCCTATGTGTGCCTGGACTGAACTAAACTGAGCAGAGCCCAGGCCGAAGTCTGTCCTCTCCCCCCAGAATTCCTGCCCCACAAACTCCCACCAGCCCTCTAGGCTGAATCTGCTCGTGGCCGAGGTTCTTACCCAGCAGACTCAGGAAGCAGGGCCCCTGGGAGCTCCCCACGAGCCACCAGCTGCTGCCTCATCACCTCAGGCGGGGAGGCCCCGGCTCACTGGGATACAGGCGTGTGAGCAAGCTCCCAACTGCCCTGTAGCTTGTGGGTGGGCCTTGTGGGCGGAAACCAGCTCCTTCCTGTTTTGTCCCCTCCACCCCAGGCTTAGTGAGAAGCAAACTTAACCCGGGTTCCCAAACTGGGCATCCCGCCGTCTGGCTGGAAGGTTCACCCCAGAGCCCAGATGCAGACTCGGTGTGTGTGTGGGGGGGCGGGGGCGGGCATGTATGTGCGTGTGCACACGAGGGGCCCCGCTGGCATGATGCGATGCATGCGTGGAGGAGGAGACGGGCACCGGCATGTAGGGGTGGTCTCGGGGACTTGCTCGCCCCCACTCGCACCTGCTGCAGAAGCAGAAGTGGCAGGCGCACCGACACGGCTGTGACTCATCTCCTGGGGAGACGGCGCCCGCTGGCGCGGGGGAGCCGCTCGCCCCCACAGGCCCATGGTGGCAGTCAGCCCTGCCGACGCCTCTGCCCAGACTCAGACACTGCCGTCGGGGGAGGGGAGGAGGCCCGCTCAGCTCCCGGGGCCCCAGCGTCAAGGACTAGCCAGGCTCCTGGGTCCAACCAGGGTGGGAGGGGCTCAGGGTAATGAAGAAGAGGTCAAGGGGCCTGGGGGTGCCCTGAGGCTGGGTCCCATCTCCGCAAGTACTGTTCCACCAGCATGTGTGCTCAGCCCGTGGGGCAGAGGTCCCCGGCATTTCAGGGCCGCCCACAGGAGCCACCGCTCTTCTCCTGTCCATGGCTGGGCTCAGTTCAGAGGGAGGCCCTCCGGGATCTAAAAACCCACTCTGAGTAGTCCTGCCCAACTCTGCACACCTCCAATCCAGCATGGCCTGGTCTCAGGCCACCAGCCATAGTCCTATCCAGTCAAACCTGTACCACCTGCAGAGGCACCAATGCCAGAACCACTAGCAACCTCAGCAGTGTTCTACCTGCCGAGCAACTCCCAACCCAGGGCAGCCACTCCCTTACTGCTGGGCCTCCAGATGTAGGCCTGGAATGCTCCATCCTTACCTGAGAAGGATGTTTCTCATCCTTACATGAGAAACATGTCACTCATCTTTAGGCTCTTCCTCCAAAGGCCGCCTCTAGCAGGAAGCCCTCACCACGTCCACCTGAGCTCCACCTGCTCCTCATATGCTTGGGGCCCAAGTACCCCCCTGCCCTTTTCCTTCTGCCCCAGGAGCCCTGAGTTCTCCGGCTACCTGTGCCTGGCATGGTGTCTTCACACACCTGCAGGGCTCAGGAAGCCTCTACTAACCAAAGTGCCAAAGAGAAACACCACCCCTCTGTGCCAGCCCCCAGAGCAACGTCAGAATGAATGGAGGCATTCACTCATTCAGCCTGACTGCTGACCACCTGCAGTGCTCTTGTGACTCCACTGCCACTCAGGAAGGGAGAGGCCCTACCCTCCAGACAGGGGGACAGAGGAAAGCTAATGAAGTGGCTACACTCTCACGATGCCTCCGTGTCCACTGTAGCCACCCCTCACCACGCCAAGGGACAAGAATAGTCCCTCTCTCAGAGGCAGTCATGAGGATTTAGTGAGCTCACATGGGTAAGGCAAAGCCCAGCTCACCTCCCGCACCCTGAAACTACTGGCTGCTAGTATCGTTATTATGATTCACTGAGAGGCTTTTACATGCAAGGAATTGTGTGAAGTGACTTTCACCCAAGAACCCATGTGATCCCTTGAAGTGGGCTCGACAGATGCCTCTCATAGGATCTGAGGCTCACAGCATCACAGGGCTAACTGAGGACAAGGTTGACAGTGGGTCTGGCCAATGCTAAAGGAAATTAACCCTGAATATTCATTGGAAAGACTGATGCTGGAGCTGAAGCTTCAATACTTTGGCCACCTGATGCAAAGAACTGGTTCATTGGAAAAGACCCTGATGCTGGGAAGGATTGAAGGCAGGAGGAGAAGGGGACAACAGAGGATGAGATGGTTGGATGGCATCACTAGCTCCATGGATGTGAGATTGAGCAAATTCCGGGAGATGGTGAAGGACAGGGAAGTCTGGCGTGCTGCAGTCCATCGGGTGGCAAAGAGTCAGATACGACTTAACACGTGAACAACAGGGAGCTTAGGGTCAGGTAAGGTGGCACCTCCCTTTACAAAGATGGCAATGACACAAGCAAGCACACATTACAAAGGCGATCCAGAAGTCCATGAGCGCTCCAAGAAGGGGCAGTACTTCCCAAAAATTCTTGGGGAAGTTGTCTTTCAGAAGCCACCCAGTGAGGGCATAGAGGGGACATGAAGTTATGCTTCAAAGACTGGCTGCAGACGAAACCCAAACAGTGTCCCAGGAAAAAACACTTTAATACATCACATCACTAGCTTTGTCCTGGACTGAGTGTATTGGCAAATATTCAAGGGCTCTGACTAAACTTTTTTTAGCTAATATTCAAATGGCAGAGGGAGGCCTCTCAGTCCAGTGGTTAATTATCTAGGCTCTGAACTTAAGATTCTTTGAGGTCAAACCTTGACTATGGTTGGCCACTGATGATTCCTATGACCTGAGTAATGTTACTTAAGTCAGCCTCAATGTTCTCATCTGTAAAATGGGACTAATACTCTTTTAGGATGAAACATACAAATACAAAGCCCAGTGCCTCGCAGTCAGTCTCTGCTCAGCTGTACCTATACCTTTCTCTCCATTTCTCCAGCTCAAATGGGATGAAAGTACTCATGTTTATTTGATGATCCAATGATGGCGCTTAGAAGTTTTGCAAATAGGCTATCAATGGGAGGGGGTGTTATTATCATTCCTGCCTGTTGAACTTGTGTTCCAAGCCTCTGAGGCTTTCCTCAGTGTCCCTCTGCCTTCTTTCTCTATCTAGCAAACTCCTATCTATACTTTGAAGCCCAGCCTGGATGTTCCCTTCTGTGACTCTCCAATGCAGAACACCAAGGGCATTTTCCTCTGTTCCTTCAGCACTTTTTTTTTCATATATTTTACGAAGAGCTCTTCACACTGCAGTTACAGACAGTTTATCTGTCTGTTTGCCAGCCCCATGGGCACTGACCGATGTTTGCTAAATTTGAGAAAATGAGTAAAGAGGGACCTATGACTGTCAGTTCTTGGGCACCTCCTGTGAAAGTATCTACACAGACATTCATGGAGGGAAGAAAAAGGGAGGGCTGAGTTACTTCTTCCCTTGCACTTCTAACAGCCACTTTATTTGGGGGAAATAACAAATTCCTATTAAGGGTATTGTCAGACCCTAATTAATTTCCCTGATCTGGCTATATTGGTCCTGTCTCTGCACAAGGCTGTAGCGTTACCACTAATGAAACACCAAGACAGTGAGGAGCTGAAGCTCCCACCCTCTTTAATTTAGGGGGAGCATTAACAGCGCTCTCTATCATCACAATTACTGGGGACCGCTTCCTTCCCTCCCTGCGGTGAAACTCGGAGAGGAACTTGTGCAGCTAACTGCATATTAGAGGGTTTTAAATTTTTTCCAGAGGAAGGAGGAAAGGAAAAGATCCTTGCATCTTGGCAATCTGGAACTGATGGAGCAGGATTTATAGATTCTCCAACCTCCCTTTCATTGCTTCTTTCTTCCTGGGGGTAAGAGGGGGATCTATAATAAACTGAGCTTTTGGTGTGGCTGTGCAAAAAAAAAAAAAGGCTAAAAATGAAAGCGGAGAAGGCGGTGTGATGGTACCAAGGAAAGACAAGCACCAGGGGTCAGCTTTACTTGATCCCCTCTTTTTGGCTGGCCGTGAAAGAGGACATTTGAGTCTGGTGGCACCTGGCTGAGGGTTCAGAGAATAATGACTCGTCCATGGAGCGACCTGTGCCCAGGCATGGTGACAAGTGTGTTGTTAAGTCCTGTGCTGCGGTTGTTCCATTTTTACACATGAGGAAACTGAGGCAGAGAGAGAGGTTACAGAACAGCCCAAAGTGACCCACCTAGGAGACAGCAGAGCTGAAACTAGATGCCCAGCAGCTTGGCTCCAGGGTGTGTACCCCACCTGCTGCACAGACAGCAGCCCTAGGCCTGCCCAGGACCCAAGGGGAGCCCCAAGGCCCCTCCCAAGAGACTCCCCTCCGGGAGCTGCAAACCCCTCTCCTGGAAGAGGCAGGGTGGCACCCCTTGGTCTTGAAGGCTTCCCCAGCTCTGGTGGACTTTGATTGTAATCAAATTAAGAGTGTAAACAAGATTTATTAGGCTTTCAATTACCTTCGTGGCACTGATTTGCATAAGGACAATGTGGTAATCACAATGGCTTTTTGAGTTACTCATTAAAAATATGAGAGAAGGCAGAAATCTTTGTAGGTGTCAAGTCTGGGTTGCCCTGGACTGACCTTTCCCAGGTCCCTTCTCTGCAGTGCTCTGTGGGCATCTGGAAAGTGGAATGACGGCCCGTCGACAGCTCAGTGGTCAGGACCAGACAGGGATGAACCCACAGTGCTCCACAGACCACTGAGCTCGAGCCAGACATGTGGGTACCCAGGGTTCCTCCCAACTGCCGACATGCTCAGAAGCTGGTTCCAATGGTCAGAGGCACAGGCTCCGACTCAGAGAGTGATGCTGCAGTGCTGACCTCCACGGCCTGTAAGGATGTGACCATGATGCCTGAACTGCAGATATACAACAGTCACAGCTTCTCCACCCAACAGCCTGGGACTTCGAGCATCTTGGCTCCCTCACCCTTTCCTGTTTGCTTGTCCTTAGAGAATTCAGACAAAGACGCCTGCATCTTCGAACAGCCACACACCTCCAAGTACCGAATCATGAACACGCAGGGTCCCTAAGCTCACCCCCCACCCAAGGTTTCCTTAATGAAAGGCAGAGAGGTGCTTCCTCCCTCTAAGTCACCTGACACAGCTGTGGAGGAGGGCAGGCATAGGGTTTCCTCCTGTGACAGTACCTGACTTTCTCTTCCACTTCCTTTCCTTCTCATTTGGGAAATTACAGGAGGGACTCAGAAGGTGAGGCACCCCAGTGGGGTTTCTTTAAAATTGAGAGACTCTCCACCTGGAGGAAATTCAAGAAGTTATAGGCAGAGAGCAGCCGCTCACCAATCACAGGCCACAAAATGCCCTCGGAACAGCTCTGGCCTGAAGGGACGTGGCTTGGGCCTTGTTCAACAGATGACACTTCTTTCTGGTCTTACCTGCCCCACTATAAATTGGGACATGGGGCGAGGTGTGGATCAGGATCGGGTTAATGACTAGAAACCATGTCATTGGTCTTGAATGGCCGGCGGGGAGGAGGGTGAAGGGCAGAGCGCTGTGTGTGGTTCACTGCCCTGCCCCTTCCTGGCTGTGTGTTCTTGGGGAAGTCACTGTCCCACTCTGGGGCTTCCCTCCCAGTTCTGCCACTGGAGCGAAGGATATTGTCCAGAACGCCCATCGCCCTGCTGTGCTGCTATTCATCAACACTTAGCAAGTCTACCCGCAGGCAGAGGTCTCCCTTCTCTCAGAGGCCACTGCTTTGCCCTGTCTAGCACCCCATGGGCAGGCACGGGAAGCTGAAGCGGGGGTGGCAGCACTGCGCTGGGTGCCAGACAGCGGCTCTGCAGTCACAGCATTTCTTTAAAAAGCCAGTTCGAACTCTGGAATGCCATCCAGGTCCTTCAAGGTCAAAGTCCACCTCCTCTGGGCAGCCTCCTGACTGTCTCAGCCTGGCCACCTTCCTCCTAGAGAACCCCAAAGCTAACCTGTCTATCACCAAACCCGAGCTTTGCCTTGATCTGTCAGCTCCCAGTTTTGCCTGACCAAGTCTTTCTTCTCCAACCAGTGAGAATCAGCTGCTGGAGCAGAGACCCCCTTCATCTGTTTAACCCCAAAACCAGGCAGTCTCATACTTTCAGCTCAACTCAGCAAAGACCTGGCCAAGGGCTGGCTGTGGTCATGGCCAGGCAGGTCTGTGGCAGGTCTCCAGAGGAGTTGGCCTGCCATCAGCAGCTGCAGCTTTACTGAAATGGCTCAGAGGAGGGGTGGCTGAGAAGGACGTGAGATGTGGGATGATGAGAGGTAGGATGATTCTGGCAGGACAGAGAGTTAAGGAGTGAAAAGGTAACAAGGGTAAATGCAAAGTGTATGGCTTGGATTGCACCGCCTGTGCTCAGTGGCTGGCAGCATTTAGCCAGAGAAGACCTGTGGCTTCTAGCCCAGCCGGGGTCAAGTGGGGGAAGGTAGACGAAGGAGGGTTTGGCCTCGAGAGTGGTGGTTCTCAACCACAGGTGATATCTCTGTCCTCTAGATGTGTGAGAGTCCTTTAGCAATGCCTGGGGGGTCACTATAGGAACTAAGTGGGCAGGAACCAAGACATGCCCCACAAAGTCCTGCACCATAAGAAACTACCCTGGCCCAAAAGGCCAATAGTTTCCCACCCCCAGAAACACCCACAGAAGGGGGCTGCTCTAAGAGTCTGAGCTGTCAGACCGAGGGTGCGATGAGGCAGTGACTCTGAGAAGGGGTGGGGGGCTAGGTGGTGAAAAGCGCTTCAGAGCGAGGCAGGGAACCAGCCCCCATCCTGCCCGAGCAGGTGCTGGACACGAGGAGCTCTAAGCGCCCCTTCTGGCTCAAAGAATCAATTGACTCTGATTCGATTTATGAGCATGGCCAGTACCCGACTTCCCGGCAGCGCCTTGATGGTGTGACCCAGGTCTCCTGCAGTGCGCTCTGGGCTGCAGGTGCCGCGGTCAGGCTGCGTAATGAGTGTCGAGCGCCGACTGCAAATGCCCCTCCCTATGGTCAGCAGGACTCGCACTGGGAGAGCAGACAGCACAGCAGGCCCTGCTGTTCCAGGGTCAGCCTGCAGAGTGCTCCGAGAGAACAGCCCTGCTCAGCGAGGGACCTGCGAGATAATTAACTAGGACACTTGCCGGTCCTGACCACGTGCTCCTTCTGGGGTTGGTGGAGGGCAGGCTGGCCGGTTCCTCAGTGCCTGGTACCTCTGGCAAGCCCAGTATCACCTGTGACGCTGGGTTTCCGTGGCCCTGCCCCTGTGTGGAAGGCCCAGCCACGCTTGACTCCTGCCTGGGTGGCCTGGGCTTGACCCCCAGCCCAGTGACCTTCCGGAATCCCTTCCAGCCCTGACTATGACTCTGCTCAGGAAAGAGGGAAGGCTCTGGGTTTAGGGATGCTAACTTTCTGCTGAAAGTCTAGAACCTAAAGGAAAGACAGCTCTCCACCGAAGGGATCAAGCAGTCAGGCTGGATAAGACGGCGCTTTCAACTTCTGTTTTGATGGGGGACAAATAGCACTCACCCATGAGGATTTAAAACACAACACCCAGATTTTAGAAAATGTGCTGTCCTCCTGACTATTCAGGGGCCCCCACCCCAGTTCTCTCACCTGGGGGCATGCCCAAGGAGACCCGGGGGCCCGAGGGGTGGCTGTTCAGCGCCCACCCAAGCAGTGCCCGGCCCCACCCCGGGTGGTGCACGCCCACTCACCTGTGCGACAGAGTGGGTTTCATGGAGCTCATGGAGTTGAGGGGGGGCTGCATGGGGAGTTTCCCGGGGGGGTCGCTCTGGCGGCTCTTCTGATGTCGGAGCAGCAGCAGGCGGCCAAGCTCCTCGCACCAGGAGGACAGCAGGGCTGCAAGGAAGGACAGCATGGTCAGTGAGCTCGTGACTGGCCACTGCGCCCTGCCGCGCCTGGTCCACCTCGCCCACCCAGGCTGGGCGCTCCTCACGCTGGCTTTGCCCCCAACTTGACACCAGTATTCTTGCCTAGACAGTGGGATTAATGCCTGAAGGAAAGAGGACCAAAAGCTGCTGTTGCTGAAGAAGAAGATCAGAGGAGGGCAGAATATAACAGCAAAGAGGGCAGAGTCAAGATGATGGAGAGGACCGCAGAGGCAGGGCCAAGGCGAGGCCAGAGGCCAGGAACAGACTGGCGTGTGCCCAGGTTAGGACCTGCTGGTTGCCCCCACACATCTCAGGGAGGCCCATACCCCTGGACTCTGGACAGTCGGCTAACATGGCTTCCTCCCCAGGAGTGGGACCCCGAAATCACAAGGTTTAAACAAAATCTGGATCCTTCCTAGAACCTGTTGCTGTTCCCAGGAGTGCTTGCAGAGTTCTCCTTCCCCCCAAAGTGCCCAGAAGAACACAGGTACACCCACCTTCCGGGCAAAGCTGAGATGGGCCCCCGTGCTACTGGGCACAGACGCTCGAAAGGACAAAGGATTTCCAGGGCACAGAGTGGCTCAGGGATGGGGCAGGGGCCGAGCCAGAGTCTGCCGGGGGCGCCAAAGGCAGCAGCAGAGGAGAGCCCTTCACATCCGGGCCGGGGAGGTCTCAGAAACCAGGAAACGCCACCAGAAAAAGCTAGGTGTTGGGGGATGAGAGAACGACTTTCCTTCATCCTGAACTGTGCCAGTGAGGCCACCAGAGGCCAGAAGCACCCTCAAGGTCAGTGCTTCTGGGCAGTCCTTAAAAGCTGGGGTTGGGGAAGGAGTCAGAAGTCAGGAAGGCTGGGTTGTCACCACCTCGCTGTGTGATCCTAAGCTCACAGACCCTCTCTGGGCCTCAGTTTGCTGGCAGGGAAAGAGGAGTCATGACTCACGCTCTGTCTTTCCTCCAGGGCTGTGGTCAGGGGCAGAAGGGAAACTGCGGAGACTGTGGAAGCAAAATGGGTTGATCTCAGCCCAGCCAATGCCCCGCTCCTGCCATCAATAATCAGTCAGACGGATCTGACAGTTCCAAGGAGTCGACCCAGTCAGGGGGTCAGGAGCCTTCTGAAGCAGGGCAGGACGCAAAGGCCACTAGCTCATCTCCAGGGTCAGCCATCTGAGTACTGTGCAACACGCCTGTGTGTCCTTTTCTTGAATCCATCCCCTGTGACCCACGGTATCAGCTGTTCTCCCCATTCTACAGATAAGCGGACTGAGGCTCAGACAGAGGAAGTCACTCGCTCACAGCAACCACTGTGGGGAGGGGCAGACACACAGATGGTGTTCCCACTGTGTATCCCGGTGGGTGAAGCCCAAGGCTGAACCAGAGTGTGGGGGAGGAGATGAAACTCTTCAAAAGGCCAAACCAGGACTTCCCTGGCGGTCTAGTGGTTAAAATCCCCGCCTGCCAATGCAGTGGATGTGGGTTTGATCCCTGGTCAGGGAACTAAGATCCCACATGACACAGGGCAACTAAGACCCAACATAACTAAATAAATAAATATTAAAAAAAAAAGGGGGGGCCCAAACCAGGCGGCCACAGTCTCCAGTGCCCTGACTCAATGAGAAACTCCTCCTGCTTCTTCTGAGTCACACCCTTTACCGTGTTCAGCAGGCGATGGGGGAAGGGGCATAGACACATGAGGCCCTGGGGAGACGGCACAGTGCTGCCAGTTCAAACCACCCCGACCTTAGATAGGCTCCCCTAGTAGCCCAAGGCCTGGAGAGGCAGGCTGGGGACCCTCTGAGACCCTGCCAGGCTCTGCGTGGGTCCCTGGCCCAGGGAGGCTCTATCAGGAGTGTGGAGTGGGGCCTGGCATCTTGAGGGGCAGCAGGCTCTTTCCTACCCCTCACCGGGTGGGCACGGGCCAGCAGGCAGCTTTTAGGACCAGCAGGAGAACACTGTCTATCCAGCCGTGCTGAGTGCTGGCTAGGAGGGAGGTGCTCACGCTCCCTGGGGCCTGTTGGGGACCAAAGGGTGAAGGAAGGGCGGTGGTTCTTGTGGGGATGGGGTGGGATGGTGAGGGGTCCCACCAGTATCAAGGAGTATGTTTGCCTGGTCTGTGCAGTGGGCAAAGATGGTCAAAGAGGCACGCGAGGTTGACATACAATCTGTGCCCTTCCCAACAGGGCACCTGTTTCTCCCTCCACGCGCAGGGATCAGTGGCCGAGCTGTCTTAAGAGCTGCATTCTGCCCCCTCAGGGGGCCTCATGATGCCACCGCCTGCTCAGGGAGGAGACTGCCAGAGAGGAGAGGCCCCCACCCTGGCTTTTGTCTGCCCAGAAACCACTGCAAAACGCCCCCGACACGGGTGCCCAGCACACATCTGCCGCAGCTGGAGGGGGAAGCAGCCTATTCATCGAGGCTGGAACAAACAGAAATGGATTTCCAGATTGCTCCATTCTTCTCCCAGGCCCCTAGTTACCGCTTCTTGTGCGGGGGGGCACCGGGCATCTGGAACCTCATTTGCACGCCAAGCACGAGGCCCAGCGGATCACAGCAATGGAGGGGCCGCTCGGCTGCCAGCACAAAGGATGGCCGCAGATGGTGCCGCCTGCTGCCTGCCCTGCCCACGGCTGCCCCTCCTGGCCCGCGCTCCTCCTGGAGGGCCACCGAGCCATGGGAGGGGCTGGGGGCACCTCGGGGGCATTCGGAGCTTTCCTCCAATGTCACAAGCCACTCCCCCATTTGGTCAAGGACGGCCCTTGTCCTCCTATTGCTAGCAGAGAGGTTTTCCGTAGAGAGAATAAAGGGAGTGGTGTAGAGGGGCCTGGGATGCTGTGAGCAGATGTGATGTGGGTATTAGGCGGCCCCGACACAACACAGATGCCAGGACAGCCACATTCCTACAAGCAAGAGGGAAAGGACAGGGAGCAAGGGAGGCACCACCCATCACCCCCTCGGCCTGAGTGGCCAGCTGGCAGAGGCCACGCGGGCAGACGCAGAGTGGAGAGACACAGGGCAGGCTCTCATCACACTGCAAGCCAACACAAGCCGTTCTGAGGCAAATGTTGGTTAGTGATAACACATGGGGATTTGCAGCCACAAAACCAGAGACTCAGGAGGACAGACAGAGGCAGGCAGGGGATTATACAAGGACAGAAAGACAGCCTGGCAGGGTGAATGTCTGGGTGTGCGTCTGTGGCTATGCCTGGATCTGGGCTGTCTGTACATGGCTGAGTTGAGTATGCCTCTCTGATGAGGTGACACCAATGTCTACAATACTCCTGGGGAGGGAAGGAGAGGGGACAATGGTGAGCATGCCGTGGATGTGATGACTATGTGTCCTGGCTCTGGGGTTCCACAGACCGGGCTTGAACTGTGCCCTGATGCTCTCTAGCTGGGAGATTTCACACAGGCTGCTTCACTGCTTGGAGCTCAGTTTCCCAATCTGTGAAACAGATTTTTATAGGAGCTGCCCACCTCAGAGAGTGGACCTAAGCTGTAAACCGGTGCTGTTAGTCAACCAAAAGAAAGGGAGGGTTGGTGGAACATCCAAGCAGAAGCCAAAAGAGGAGGGTTGGTGGAGGCCCAAATGACCCTGTAACTCATAGCAGCCTCAGAAAAATCGCACTCACAAGCCCTGCTCAATCACGCACGTATCTCGGCCTTCACATGGCACCCAGATAGTGGGTGAGGTACGGACTCCACAATCATCCCAGCTCGGTCTCTACCACCCATGCGAGACCTTGAGCAAGTCACCTAAGTTCCTGTGTCTCAGCTCCCTCATCTCCAAATGGCGGTGGCGGTAATTCTACTCCCTGTATCACAGACCAGCTGTCAGGATGCTGGTCAGGTGCTGAGTTACCACCATGAAGTGAAGGAACAGCATCAGGTGCATAGTAGGTGTTCTATGTATGTTTGCTACAATGATGATCAGTATTGCTGACCTTGGTTGGTAGATAAGCGAGGACGGGCTTTGGTGTCTCTGTCCACCTCTGACCATATAGCAGCAGCCCCAGGGGGTGAGTGGAAGAGAAAGCGGATTCCAGCCAGGGAGGTCGCCGTTTCGCACTCCCACTGCCTGCATGTGCCTCTGCAGCTTATCCAGGAAACCACAGGGGACACTAGGGTTCCATGGGCTTAAGTAACTAAGTCATCTGCCAGCAGCACGTGTCTTACAGTTGAGGCCGTAGCACAGTGTGACTGGTGGTGTGTTTTTCTTTCCCAGCGGTAGATCAAATAGTGGTATGTGTGACAAAGGGGGCTGTCTCCTATTCCTGGAACCCAGTAGATGTGTCCTGGGGCCCCTGCACCAGAGGGTGAGATGGTAAGGTGGAGTGGAAATGAACATGGGGTCTGAGGATCACAAAGGACACAGGATAAAGAGCTGAGAAGGGGCTCTGGGGGAGATCCAAGTTCCTGAGATTTGCTCCCCAAGAGCCCCGAGGCTTCTGCCCCTACAGCTGGCAGCCACCACAGTGTCCTTTAAAGACAAGTAAAAGGAAACCAGATGTAGAAATGAAGGGAGGTCTGGAGCGAAGCTGTGGGGCATCTTAGTCCAGTCTTGTCCAAGATGTGGCCTGCCTGGAAACAGTGATAGGCCCTGTGTGTTTGCCTCTGCCTGAAGCTCCCGGCAGAAGAGATGCCCAGGCTGGGCTGATCCGATGAACTAGTGCAGGGCTGCCAGTCTTACCCGAAAGAGGCGGCAGAAGGAAGGGGCTGAATGGCTGGATCTGGGAACCATCGGGGCTCCAGGTAGGGAGGGTGGAGCTGTAATCTCCAGACCAGCAGAGTAACCGGCAGACAATGAATCACTTATGGGTGGAGGGGAGGCAGAGGCTGGGGTCTGGGAGTCAGAGCATCAAAGGGGCAGATGAGCTCGCCTGGGCACATGCAAAAAAACTGTCCCTTGCCAGGCAGAGCTGGGGCTTAAAAAGCAGCCAGAAACCACAGGCAGTCATGTGGGGACACACACACACACACACACACACACACAACCTGGGAACATGCAAATGGAGTTCACTGTTCAATGAAATATACTAATGATAAATTTTCAAAACGCTTCCATACATTAGCTTACTCCATCCACACAAGACCCTCTGAAGTGGCAGCAGGAGCTCAGTGGTCCCAGCAGGGAAGCCTGGCCATGGGCCGTGCCTGGTGAGTCAGGGCAGAAGAACCAGTCCTCCATGCTGGGCTCCTCCCCCCTCTCCTCCTTTCCTCCCTGCCACAACTGAGTTCCTGTTCCCGGATCCACTTGAATTCCCCAGGATCACCTCAAGCCACCTCGGGAAGACAGGCACCCCACCCCGCCCCACCCTTGGGCCACTGCAGCCTGATTATCTTTGCAGTCTGTCGCCTCTGCTTCTTGCCTGTTCCAATCACCTTCTGCAGTGCCGTCCTTTCTCTCCTGAATGATGACAAGTGTGTTCTATCATTTATCTCAGTCTCCAGTCCCGCCTCCTGCCAACCCACACGCTACAAGGCGGCCAGAGGAATTTTTCCACAAATGTATGCTGTTCACCTCTTTCCAGTCTGTGTCCCCGGAGGCTGCACAGGGCCTGGGAGACAGCAGAGGCCCAGAAAATACGCTGATTTCACTGAGAGTCAGGCTACCCCAGGGGCAGCTGGCGGTGGGGGGGTTCTACAGTGAGAGCGTGAACCCGAAGGCCAGGATGGGATTCCAGGGGTTCGCTTCTGCAACCCTGGCACCCAGCACAGGCTATGAAGCCAACACACAACTAATAGATGAAAATGTATTGCATTGACATTACCCAG